GAAGGGAAGGTTTAGGGCTGAAGGCTGTTGTTCAGATTCTTTTTGTCCCATGGGGTATTCCCTTGTTGTAGTACTCTCCCCCCTTTCCTATGGGTGTGGCTTCCTGTGAGCCAAACTGCTGTGATTGTTGTCTCTCTTCTGGGTCTAGCCACCTAGTGAATCTACCCGACTCCAGGCTGGTACTGGGGATTGTCTGCACAGAGTCCTGTGATATGAACTGTCTATGGGTCTATCAGCCATGGATACCAGCACCTGTTCCAGTGGAGGTGGTGGGCGGGGGGGGGGGGGGGGGGGGGGGGGGGGGTCAGTGCAATGAGTTCTATGAAAGTTCTTAGCTTTGGTAGTTTAATGCTCTATTTTTGTGCTGGTTGGCCTCCTGCTGGGAGGTGGCACTTTCCAGAGAGCATCAGCTGTCATAGTATGGAGAGGAAATGGTGCTGGGCGGGGCCCTAGAACTCCCAAGATTACATGTCCCTTTGTCTTCAGCTACCATGGTGGGTAGGGAAGGACCATCAGGTGGGGGCAGGGCTAGGCATATCTGAGCCCAGACTCTCCTTGGACCGGTCTTGCTGTGGCTGCTGTGGGGGATGGGGGTGAGATTCCCATGTCACTGGAGTTGTGTATGTAGGAGGATTATGGCTGCCTCTGCTGAGTTACGCAGGTTGTCAGGGAAGTGGAGGAAAGCTGGCAACCACAGGCCTCACCAAGGTCCCACACAAACTGAAGGGCCAGTCTCACTCCCACCATGCACCCCGCAACAGTCCTGAGTCTGTTTCCAGGCGGTGAGTGAGACGGGCTTGAAAACATGCCCCAGGCTACCCACCTCCCAGCTGCAAAATAAAAGGGATTGATTCTTCTCCCGCCTGTGGAGCCTGCACACTGGATTTGCGCCCTCCCCTGATTTCTAGCCAAGAGGCTTCTTGCCCCATTCAAATTGTTATGAAGTTCAGCTGGAGATTTCTTTCTCTCTGGAGTTTTACCCCACGCTCCTCTGGCCACCCTCCCAGTGGATCCCTGTGATGCCAGGTAAGAATGGGCTGTCTGGGGATCCAGTGAGCTCCCTAGGGCCTTTCTGCTGCTTCCTCTACCCCTGTATTTTGCTTGGCTCCCTAAATTGACTCAGCTCCAGGTAAGGTAGGAAACTTCTCCCACAAAGACCTTCAGTTTCTCCAGTGGGTGTGTGTGTTCAGGAGAAGAGGGTCTCCCTTTCCCACTTTTGTAGTTGGGGCACTCACAGTATTTGGGGTGTCTCCTGGGTCCTGCAGGAGCAGTCTGCTTCCTTCAGAGGGTATGTGGGTCCTCTTGAGATTGCTGGTTTGTTCTTCCAGTCAATCTGAATCTTAAATTTGCAAGCCACCGCACGCTGCTCTGTCTGGAGTTGCAATCTAGTCCTGCCTCCCATCCACCATGATAATCCCTCCCTCACTGGCTTCTTTTTAGTAACATGTCATGGTGCTGATCATGCATCAAATGGCACCAGCACTTGTTTTCTTCCTGTCTGTGTTCCTCATATATACACTTTTATTATTAAGTAGATGTAAGAATCCATTTAAAATAGATTTAGCTTTGGGGAGAAATTCTGTGTTGATTCCACCCACACAAAGGTGCATGTACCCACACAAACAGTTCCTTCTAGAAATGCAAAAACAATATAGCAATGACACTAATGATCAAGATATTTTATAAAGGAAATCACCCAAATCCCATCACCAGAACACAGCTCTTTTTATTTACGCATTCACTATGAGTTTTTGTAAGTTGCAAGATCACAGTGTAAATACAATGGAGCCTCTTCCTTTTCAAAACCTGTTGCATGTATTCCTCAGACCGCCGCAGGTTTCAGAATGAGCATATTAAATGTTCTCATAATATGCCATGGAATGGATATGCCATAATTTAATTTGCCACCCATTATTGTTGGGCAATTCATTTGTTCCCAGTGTTATATTACTACAGCCAATCTCATAACAAACATCTTCATGCATGTATCTTCTCAATTCTGTTGAACTGCTTCCTGAGGAATAAAATCTCAGGAAGAAGAATTATTGAGTTAAAGGTCAGGAACAGTCCTAGGACTCTTGCTTCAGTTGACTGGGTTGCCTTCCACAAGTGTGGGTCCCTTTCTAAAATGTGCATACCCTCGGCACTAGCCAGCTTTCCCCTTTAGCCACCCAAACCTGTCCCACTCACTCTTGGTGTCTTAGTTACTGCCTGTTGTGTGGGGATCAACTTCTATTTGCTCTCTGGGTGCTCTGCACCATGGTTTCAAAACAATGTAAACCTGTTTTGGGAAACACACTCAGCCGATGTGGAATAGCCTCTCAGCTCCAACAGCTGAGAGTCCACAGTAATTATCTTTGGGGGATGCCAGGCTTGGCAAGTAAGGAGCAGATGCGTTTGTTTCTCAAGGCCCACATTGCAGAGAACTTTCCCCCACACCCTTAACAAGTGAACCACAATGCTCTGATGCAAGCAGCCTTATGCTGACTATGAGCTCCCCTCAACACCCACTATGTGGCAGGCCCTACTACAAATCAGATATGGCTCTTGCCCTCAAAGAGCCCACAAACTCTGGTAAAGACAAACAAACAAACAACTAACAGAGGTGCAATGTGGTGTCATGAGCAAGTGCGTTGCAACTAGTCTGACCTGGATTGGGACTTCAATCTTGCCATCTTCTTGCTGTGTGGACTTCAGCAAGTGTGTGTGTGTGTGTGTATGGTCTTGGTTTCATTCTCTACAATTAGGAATAATGGAATAATATTAATACCAGCTTCCCTCCAGTTGAACCCTGGTATTCTTGCCTGGGGGATCAGGAAATGCTTTTCTGTCCCCCACCCCCACCCCCACCCCAGGGAGAATGTGCTGAAAGGCTCCAAACGTCATGAGGATTGGGTCTCTCTCACCAGTCCCAGGACAGGAAGGCCTATTGGTTGACTGCAGTGAGCAGCCCTGAAGTGGCTGGAGAGTACAGAACCTCAGTGACTTGGGGCTGCCTGCAAAACCATTCGCAAAAGTTCCACTGTCTCTGCCTACATTATTTCTACCAGGAGGGGAAAGTAACGTGGCTCAGCTGACTATTCTTTCCCAAGTGCTAAACTGGCTTCCTTGATTAGAAAAACACAGCCTTAGGCTGATGGCCTTGCCAGCAATCAGTGCTAATGCAAGACCCAGCTGAGGAATACAGCAGACTAGGCTCCATGCCCAGTGCCACGAAGACTTCTGCCTTGTCCAGGACATGGTCCAGAGATAGAAAATGCTGATTTTCTAGCAGAGCTACTAAGAGTCAACATTTACAAGTGCCAACGATGGCTTTTGTGCAACGAAAGGCACAAGAGTGGGGCAGCTCTCTTCTTGTCACACCCCAGAGTCCCTGGGTAAACTTTCCCAGAGGAACTGTCAAATGATAATGGCCATGAATGGGCATGTCCAGCAGTACAGACAGCCACATGGGTCACAGAAGTACCCATCACTACTGTAGTTAGCACACTCTGCCCATCAAGATTTGTACTCTTTCTGGGAACAATCTGCTGTCTTACCATGGCTAGGAATCTACTGTCCACATCTAAAATAGGTGCACTTTCCATTCAATTTATCCATTTCTTATTACACCCCCTGTTCAATAACCATTGTCTGAGCATCTGCTGTGGTAGATGTAAACCTGAGTCAGACATCATCCTCATGTCTCAAATAATAACTTAAACAGAATCACCACTGATCATAGCAGTGCAGTCCTGGTTAATGATCCACTCCAGCATTTTCCAAAGTATGTTCCACAAACATTGGTTCCTCAAGATTCTAATAGATGCTCAGCTCCAAAAGGATTCTGTGGTGACAAAAGTTTGAGGAAACTTGAGTGGAGGGAAGTTAGCAAGCCTTCTTGATTGCCAGGCTTATCAGAGCCAGTGACATGTCAAGGTGCACTGTCACTCTCCAACAGGAGCTAGAGAATGCATTCTCCAAACACATTTTACTCCAGACCCATGTGGAAAAAGCATTTCATATGGCCAGCAGTCCAGACAATGCATTTTGGGAAATACAGAACTCTTCCAATCCCCTTATTTTTTAGATAAGGAGATTGAAGCCCAGAGAAGGAAAGGGATTTGCCTGAGCTCACCCAAGAGGCCTGAGGCAGGGTAACAATAATTCAGCTGTAGCACTTTCAGAAGGGATGTCTCTAATCTGTTTTTCAGATTGGGAAGCCATTAGAGGGTTTCAGCAGTGGGGATAATGCAATTGAATTAGCATTTTAGGTAAATCACTTCAGCTGATGTGTGGAGGAGACTCTAGAGGGATGACAGTGAGGAGACAATGAAGAGTAATCCAGGTGAGAGATAATAAAGACCTAAATTTGTGCAGTAGCAGGAGGGTAGGTGAGGTAAAGATACATTCCAGAAATAATTAGGAGGTAAACCGGCAGGACCTGATGGCAGATTAGGTGGGGGAGTGGAAGGAGTTAAGGGTGATGCTGAGAAATCTGGTCTGGGTGACTGGGTAGATGCCAGTGCCATGCAGTGGAGAAGCTGTTTGGATGGAGTTAAGTAGGTTGAAGACTTCCATTTCAGTGGCTGTGGAATGACCAGTGTAGATATCCAAGTAGCATTTGGCTTTATGCGGGGAAGGTTTTGGTAAGAGACCAAGATTAGGGAGATAACTGCATATTGATGAAAGTTAAAGCACAAGAATGAGAGAAATAGTCCAGGGAGAACCTGTAGAGGAAGTAGAAGCAATAGACCAAGGCTCAGAAACTCGGAGAACTCAGTTCTGGCCTCCAAGGAACTCACTATCTAAACCTTATTCTTCCTCCAGAGTTCCCCTCAAAGCACCTCCTCCAGGAAAGGAATGCTGCCCTAAGAGATGTACGAGGTGTTGGGTCAATTTGGAGGACAGAAAATTCATATGTGATGGCATAATTAAATGTCTTCTGTTAGCACACCGGATTTTTTTTTTTTCACTGCTTCAATGGTCGTTTTTTATTAAAAGAAAAATAATTCAAAATATATAAGAAATTAGACTTTTATCAATACACAAATAATTTTACTTAAAACCAACCCAGTTACATATTTTTTAAAAATTGCAGAACCTCTGCACACCAATGTCCACAACCTAGAATAGGTTCATGTGAAACCCACAGTCCTACCCCGGAGCATCAATAAGTGATGGTCCAGGTACTCACTGACATGTTTCTCTTGACACCGAGATGGTTGCAAACAAAACACCATTCTTCCCTGGATGAAGCAAGAGTTCACATAAAAGAGCTTTATAAAATGTCTATGAAGGAGAATTGGTAATATCAGAAGAGCTCCAGCACTTTAATTGAATATAATCCTCTATTATTCTTTTCTTGATTTAATTTCTGTAGCTCCCGAAAACTTACTTCAATCTTGTTGAGCTCGGAATAAACAGATATCTGAGATTTTACAAGCTTGTAAAGATTTATCAGTAGCCTCTTTGCTTCTGGCATCATTACTATAACAGTAAAATTTGCATCCAGAAGTAGACATATCCAATCCATAATCTGGTTCTAGGTAGGTGGGTATATTCCAGGAAGAGTCATAGTAGCATTTTTGCTACACTTCAGATAAAGGAAATACAAATACTTAAGAAACAGCGTGGTATGCTGTGCTCGGATGTTTTTCAAATGAGGCAGAAGAAATGTTTTGCTATATGCTGAATGAAGAATTGCATTAAGTAGAGCTGCTCCTTTTGGTATCACAGGGCATGAAGTGGTCTCCTTTGTTTTGTCCTGGGGCTTTTTATTTAACTCTCGATCACAGTTATTGCATTTATCTTCTTCAGGATTGAAGCCATTTTGAAGAATTTCAGTTTGCTCTTCCATTTTCTCATCATGTACAGAATTACTATAGTCAAAAACTGACTCCATACTGACATCTGTTTCTTGAAGACTGTCATCACCAATGCTCAAGAAAAATTTTAAGCAAGCACAGGTGACCGATTCAGGAATGTCAGGGAACTGCTGTAGACAGAGTTGTAACACCTGTACATCTTTCTTTTTTAAGGCAATCTCCATTAAGTCAGGGCACAAACTGTAAGAAAGCACATGCATTTGGATAAGCTGCATCAGACAGTTCCGGGGATAAAATGATCGTTCTGCTTTACACCTTTCCAGAAGTCCTGTTACTGTGTCCCCAATGACAGTATGAAAGTCAGGTGTCTGCTTCAGAGCCAAAAATTTCCATACTTCTACTTCAATGTGCTTTTCTGAATCTTTCATTATGGTTGACAAAAGTTGTTTGGATGGTGAGACCTCTGGCTATAAACTCACTTCAATTTTTCATCTCCTTAAAATTCTTCTTAACTGTTCTGAGTTCTGGGACCCAAGTCCACATCCTTGAGGTGTTTCCCAGTTTACAAAAATGGGGCACAACATGAGTTCCTGGATTTTGACTATGCTTGAGTTTTCCAAGAGCACCTGCTAATGATGACACTTCACAGTTGTATGGAATCACAGCTAGAGATTTTCCATGTAGCATAAACAAATTTTCCCCATAATACCAGAGTTGACCACTGGTCCCTTGTGGTAACTCTTTTGAAGTCTGTAGTGTTTGAAATTTTATGTTCCATACAGAGAGGCATTCCTTAGAAGTTGCTAGTGGACTTCCTAGGACTGTGACGTGATCCTGATCCAGGGCAGTGAGTCCAACTCCATTTGGAGCATTACCAGACACAACAGCCTTGAGCAACAGTGATCTAACTAAGCTCTGATTTTTTTCTGGGTCAGTTGGACGTATTGGTATCAAGGTTTCATATATACAACCATCAGAGTTTAATGACATCAAAGAGATGAATTTTTGATCTACTGATGCAGTAAAACTCTCTATAACAGAGTTTTTGTCTTGTCCAAGTAAGAGTATATATTTGGTTAAGATATGTGAGTTAAACATTTGCACCTAAGCAATGTAATTTCCATGTTTTTCAGTAATAAACATTAAAACAGGAAGTCTGAATACTATGAAAAACTTTGTCCATTTAATCACTTCATCAGAGATAACAGTTTCAATTTTCTGCTGGGGGTCTGCAAGCAAGGCCTCTAAACCATAAACAACACCTTCCTTGAAGAGCACCAAGGGTTCTGACCCTTGCACTGAAAGTATCCTATATACTTCAACTGACAATGTAGCTTTAAATACTTTATCCCTGTTTACATCTTCATTATTCCATATTCTTAAAACTTTATTATTGTGTACAACAATATACTCTCCAGTTTGAAAGTTGCACACAACTGGACATGTTATAATTTGACCCTGTTTCACTGACCAGCTCCCCAAGGGTTTCTATTCAGAAACCTTATAGAGGATCACGATTCTGCCACTTTCTGTCACTAGAAACTGGTCTATTTTGTCACTCTGCTTCATGCCTAGGAGTCCTTCAGGTCCCGCACTCAGGACTACCAAAGACAATGTGAATTCTTCCTCCAGCGCTGCCATTTTGAGCAAACCTAGCACACCTGATTCTAAAGAGGTGCTGAGAAAACTTGTAGGAAGATGCAGTTTTCCTCAGATGGATGTGTATGTTTGTCACTTTCACCTTGGAGTCTAGTTATGTGTACAAGTCTTATCCCCTCAGTAGGCAGTGTACTTGCTCCTGAGAGAAAGGAGTCCTAAATTCTCAGAAGTCCTCATGGAACCTGAAGAGTACCTGGCATGTAGTACTCAATACAAATTTGCTGAACACATGAATGAGGGTGAAGGTGGGGAAGGGTCTCAGGCCAAATAAATAGTATGAGCAATATCACACAAGTAGGGAACTACGGGAAATGCAGAATGATTGAGTGTGGCCCATGCATAGACTACATGAGTGATGGAGAAAGAGGAAACATAGGACACTGGCAACATGGACTGGGACCAGGTGTTGTGGCCTTGAACACCAAACTGTAGGATCTGATTACCTTCAAGTGCTATAGAAAGCTGGACAGATGCTGTAACTGTGGTGGGTCTGAGCAGAGGTGAGCTGTCCCTCAGGGGCTCTTTTTTGCTTCCCTTACCTCCTGTCAGGGAAGCAGTGATGAGGGCTCTGTCAGCTCCTCCCGGCTTTCTCTTGCTGGATGCTGCCTGCAGTGCCCAAAAAAGTCACCATAAGCAAAGTTACTGTAATTTGCGGGAGCCAACCTCCCATTCCATTTCATTTTTTCAGTATCCAAGAGGAAAAGAGGTAGGTCTAAAGCCTGAGGTACCATGGACTCTCAGGAAAGCTATGAGAAGGGAGTCCACAACCCTGCCTCATTAGTTCATATACAAAGGTGTAAGTTTGTCACTTCACTTCCTCTTGTGGCTTCTGAATGCTGGGGCTCAAGTCAGATATTCTCAGCATTCATTGCCCTGGAAATGGTCTTTTTTAATATCCCAGGCACCTGTGACCTTCCACTACTGCATGTCCAAATTCTCTCTAGTCTGAAAAATTTAGTGACAATGTTTCCTCTTGCAGGAAGCAGAGCCCTTCAGCTCAAAGTGACTGTTTCCTCAGAATGTCTGTATTACTGCAGCTGTAGTCCTCAACCTTATTGCCTGGATACACATTTTATATCCTGCCCTCTTCCCACACAAAAATAGTTCAGGTCCATAGTAGGGGGTATGATGGAATTATCTGGAGACAGGATGTTAGAGTAGACAGACCATGCACACTACAATCAGGCAAACCTAGATATCAACACCAGCTCTACCACTTCCTGGCTTCATTACCTTAGACAAGTTCCTTAACCCTCTAAGAGACTCAGTTTTCTTATCTGTATATGGCAGAATGTAATAGGATGCTGACACAGTTGTTGAAATTATTAGATGAGAAAAAAGCAAAGCATCAGTAATAATACCTGGCAGGTTTTTGGCACTCAAAAATAATTCATTCCTCTCCTTTGCCTTCAATATTCTTCACAGGGCCTAGTATACAGTTTTCATTCATTGATCCAGCCAGTTATCAATTAAAACATTACTGGGGAAAGATAGTATGTACATTGACATAAAAATTAAATACTTAGGAATAAATCTAATGAAGAGATCTATTCAAATGGTAAGATTTACAATTTTCACGAATAGGAACAGTCACTATTATAAAGATGTCAGTAGTTTCCACACTGATTTATTAATTCAATGCCATATCCTGAGAGTTGTGTGTGTATGTGTGCAACTTAACAAGCTGCTTCTAAAATATATATGTAAAAAGTCAAGAATAGTTAAAGTATCCTTGAAGGAAGAAAAAGGGGGGAAACTTGCTCTACTACGTATCAAGATTTATTATAAAGCTATAGTAATTATGACAGTGTAGTATTGTCTCAGAGACAGACAAATAGAACAAGGAAACAGAATGTAAAGTCCAGAGACAGATGTATACATACATTGAGACTTGATGTGTGACAAAGGAAATATTTAAGTATGCATTTTAGTTAATAACAATGTATTAATACTAGTTTATTGATTGTGAGAAATATACCATACTTATGTAAGATGATAATAATAGGTAAAACTGGGTACAGGGTTTATTATAACTCCTTGTACTATCTTTACAACTTTTCCATAAATCTAAACCTATTCTAAAATACTTTTTAAAAATTATTTTAAAACAAGTAAAAAAATCAATTCCAACAGGATTAAAGAAAACTAAATGTATAAGGCAAATTATAAGAAAGATTATATAAGAGAATGCATGAATAATTTGGGGGTAGGAAACACTTCCCTGCATAAGATTTTAAGAAAAGAATCACAAATGAAAAATAGACTTGACTACATTTAAATTAAAAATTTTTATTAATAATATAATATGATTAAGAAGGGGAAAAAAACAAGCTACAGATTCTACTTCCAGCAATAGACAAGTAAGCTCCTATCGACCCTGTCCTACTACAGATTAAAACTATGAACTCTGGAGAAAAACAAAACAAAATATAAATATACTACTTGAAGGCAGTGTGGAGAGATCAAAAGCAGGCAGATAGTGGAGGGGGGTCAACACTTAGAAGAAGAAAATGGCACTGGGTCAGTTTCCCATTACTTTTCTGGTGTTTAGCTTGAGGACAGGACCCAGTCTGTACCATGCAGAGCAACTTAAACTGTGATGGAAAAGCTGTAGTCTTTCTGTATTGAAGAACTAGAGTACAGAGTTCATAGCAAACACAACTACTGAGAAGTAAGGAGGAAGTCCTCCAAAATGAGAAAGCCAGAAAGAAAGAGCTTCGAATCCTACGTATAAACTACATCCAACTCTCTGCTGACCCCAAACCATGCATGTGTGTGACAGACTCTAAGGAGAAGACCTAAGACTAAAAAAACTGAATTGTTATTTAAGCTGTTACCCATTGCAGAGGAGAAATAACTTGCAATTTGAGTCCAGCCAGTCTAGTTGCCGGCTAACACAAACAAAACAAAACGAAACATAAGCAAAATCAATATAACAAAACAAAAATCAACATTCTTCAAACGAAAAGAGCAAAACCAGGGTCCCCACACATACGAAGAACCAGAAAAGCATGAGGAAAACTCAAGAAAAAAGACAATCAACTAAAAGTAGCCCTAAAATGATTCAAATGTCGGAATTAGCAGACAAGGATTTTTAAAGCAGCTATTATAGATATGCTGAAGGGCATAAAGGAAAATATGCTTATAATGAATGAAAAGTCAGAAAATATCAGAAAAGAAATGTAAAAATTATAATAAAGAACCAAGTGGAAATTCTAGAGCTGAAACATATAATATCTGAATTAAAAATTCACTGGATAGGCTTGACAACAAAATAGAAATGACAGAAGAGTCAGAAAACATGAAGATCAATAGAAATTATCCATTCTGAAGAACAAAGAAGAAAAAATGAAGAGAAAATAACAGAGGCTCAGGAACCTATAGAACATTATAAAAATATCTAAAACATATGTAGTTAGAGTCACAGAAGGAAAAGAGAGAAAATAAACTAGAAAAATTGTATTTGAAAAAAATGACAGAAGTAAACTCTCCCAATTTGATGAAAGACATAAACTCACAGATTTAAAGAAATTCAGCGAGTCCCACGTAAAATGAATACAAAGTAAATCACAGCTAGACACATCAGAGACAAACTACTAAAAAACAAAGATAATGTCTTAAAGAAGCTAGAGGAAAGTAAGATTCAGAGGAACCACAATTCAAATAACTGCTTATGACATATGACATACAATGAGGGTCCAAAGACCATGGACCAACATCTTTAAAGCACTGAAAGAAAACTGTCAAGAATTATATATCTAGCAAAAACCAAGAATAAAGGTTAAATGAAGGCATTTTACATAAAAGATAACCCAGAGAATTAATAGCCATCAGATATGCATTACAAAAAATGTTGAACAGAGTTCTTCAGGCTGAAGGGAAGTTTGGATCTACAGGAAGAAATGAAGAGCATTGGAAATGGGTAGATATAAAACACTACTTTTCTTCTTAATCTATGTAAAATACATATTACTGTTCAAAGTGAAAATTGTAGCATCATATGGTGGAATGTAAAATGTCAGTAAGTTGTAATACATAAACATAATACATAAAGCATAAAATTGGGAGGAATATAGTTGCAAGGTTTCCACAATTGACATGAAGGGGTACAATATTATCTCTAAGTAAATTGTGGCAAGTTATTAATATACATTGTAATCCCTAGAACAACACTAAAAATGATGCAAAGAGGTACAGCTAAAATCAAATAAATATAATAAAAATCTATAGTACATTCAAATAATCCAAGAGAAGGCAGAAAAAGAGGAATATGGGAAAAACAGGGGGGGAAAACAGAAAACAACTAGTGAATAAAGATTTAAATCTGAAATATCAATAATTATGTTAAATGTTAATAAACATGGACCACATTTGAATTAAAAGGCAGAATGTCAGAATGGAGAAAAAGAGCAAGACACTATCATGTGCTTTCTAGGAGATATGTATTTTAATATAAAAATAGAGATTGGATAAAAACAAATGGATGGAGAAGGGCACATAGTATGTAAACAGTAGTACAAGAAGGCTTCCGTGGCTATCTGATATTAAATCAGGTAAAGTAGACTTCAAGTAAGAATGTTACTAAAGAGAAGCATTTCATAATGAATAAAGAATTACTTCATCCGGAAGAGACAGTATTCATAAATGTATATGTGGTATAACAACATAACTTCAAAATAAAGTAAAATTGGGAGAATTAAAGGGAGAAAACATAGCTGGAGATTTTAACAACTTGTTCTCAGCTACAGATAAAGGAGCTAGACAAAAATTAGTAAAGACTTAGAGGATCTAAATAACATTACCGACCAACTTGACTTAACTAATATTTATAGAACACTATATCCAACGAGAGAATACACTTTTTTTTCCAAGTATACATAGTGCCTTCACCAAGATAGGTTTACGCTAGGCCATAAACCATGTGTAAGTAAATTTGACAGAAATAAAATGTAGAATATGTTCTCAGACCACAATGGAATTAACAAGAAGTCAATAACAAGATAGTCAGAAAAAAGGAAACTTTGAAAATTAAACAATATACTTTTAAATAACATATGGGTCAAAGAAGAAAGCATAAAGAGAATTAGAAAATATTTTGAACTAAATGACGATAAAAACACGACATATTAAAATTTGTGGGAAGCAAGTGATGCAGCACTTAGAGAAAAAAGTTGTACCTTTAAATGTTTATATTAGAAAAGAATGGCCTAAAATTAATGACCTTGGATTCCACTCTAAGAAACTAGAAAATCATGGGAAAGTAAATCCAAAGTAAGTAGAAGTTAAGAAATAATAAAAAGGGCAAAGGTCAATGAAACAGGAAAAAAAAAAAAACTGAGAAAATTAACAAAGCCAGCAAAAATTGATGCTCCTCTACCTCGACTAATCAAGAAAAAAGAGAATGCAAATTAGCACTAACAGGAATAAAAGATGATCATCAAAAACAAGAAAAGCCTGAGATCATTAAAGATCCTACAACATTAAAAACATAATAAAATATTATAAACAGCTTTATTGCAACAAATTTGACAACTTGGATAAAATAAACACATTTCTTAACAATAACTTACTGAATTGGACACAAGATGAAACAGAAAAATCTGCAT